TCGAGAGCCGACACCATTTGTGGTGCACTGGTGTTGAACGTGATTATATTATTCACTATTTCTCGGAGAAATAAGAACCTTTCTACCATGTAATATGTGCTATTCCAACGCGTTGAAACTGACTGAATTAAAGTCTTTTTTTCTAATAGCTTAGTTTTTTTTTCTTAGTTCGTCACTTCCCACAACGCTATTTCTAAACCAAGTCACAATGGACTTTACCTGATCCAAAACAATTTTTAGCTCAGGAAGAGAGCCAATGGACTTTTGAGCTAGCAGATTCAATAAATGCGCGAAGCAATAGCAGTGCTTTTTTTTCGAACGCTAATTCTACTGCTTTGATCATATTGCTTCCTCCATCGGTTACAACTGCTACGACATTATCTTTACTTATGTTCCACTCAGTACAAACGTTTGAAAACACCTCAGAAAGATTTTCCCCAGTGTGACTTACTGTCAGTTCTTTCACGCCAAGTACAATACTTTCCAATTTAAACGTTTTTTCATTTCCACAGGATGAAATAAAATGCGCAGTAACTCCAAGAAATGCTTTCGTTTAGTGTGTTTCGGTCCACACATCAGTGGTTAAACATATGAAGGGTACCGTCGACAATTCCTTCTTGACCTAATTCGAAATGAAATCGTACTTTTTCTCCAGGAGAGAATCGAACGTTCTCCTTCACGATTGAGAGAATACAAAGGTTGCGCCGATCTCGGACCGCTATTCCTCTCTTAACGATTTTGACAGAATCGTTGTTTGCATGACGTCACACTTGTGCAACTTGTTTATGTTTTCCTTGCAACATTTTTTCTTCTTCTTCCATTCTTGCTCACGTTTTGACATTTCTCTCTCGCAATTGCACCAGTGTGACGACACGCAAAAGTTATTCTCAAAAATCCTCTCTGATCGGCGCAATCTTGTATTCTATCATTCTTGGTTCTCCTTGAAGGTATTTTATACAATGGCGATACTATTTTTAATAAATGACAAAACCCTTCGTCTTCCACGATAGAAATGGGCTGATTGTCCCGGCATATCATGAACAAGATAGCCGCTGTTATTTTCTTACTTTAATCACCGCCGTCCTTGAAGAGGTTATATTTGCGAAACACGTTTGCAAATTCTGCTGACCTCCTGATGATAGCGCAGATACTTGGTGTGATGAGCTGGTACTTGGGCAAGGTTCTGAAGATGCGGGAACGAGACTTGCATTTTTACACTTCGGTGCCGTCGGTCTTATTGGGCACTTTTTCGGAAGATGTTAGATGGGTTACAAAAATATCAGTGTGCATAGCTTTAATGTGACCTATGAGATTGCTTGTATTGCCACATGTTTTTAGGTGTTTGTTACAAACAACACACACAACCAATTCATTCGGTTTTTTATTGTGTTTTTCGAAAAACTTCCACACGCTACTTTTAGGCGCCATTCCACTATTATGAATCAAAACTGGAAACAAAAGAATTTAGCGACAATAAAAACAATAAAAACTTCTGCAATATGCCTTGAGATCACGATGTAGAGATCAAAGGTGGCGCCCATCTAGGGATGCCAGCGATTAATCATTTGATTAAATTAATCGATTGTTTTTGTCCAAAACTAAGGCGAACCAGTTGGTCAATTGCTGGAAGTTGGTTGTAAATAAGCCGAGCATCGAAGAAAAACATCGAAGCAAAAAATCGATGTCGATAAAACATCGGGTAGCAAAAATCTATGTTCAAAACACTCGATGTTGGCTCAAAACATGTTGTATGTTGTTTTATTCTAAAGCCAATCACAGAAAAGGATTTGGATGTGCTTGGCAAACGTTATCCCCAGTAAGGCTTTCTGCTCATTGGTCGTCCAATCATAGTTGAGTTATAGTTATCGTCATGAAGCAACGATTACATGACGATTACACTTCTGCACACTTGGTCGTGATATTTCAATTCATTTGGCGTCTAAAAATTTACTTGGAGCAGGTATTTTCTGTTTTCTTTGGTTGATATTTTCGCGAAATATTTACAAAAACCTGCAATTTTTTAAATATAGACTGTGCTGCAACATTTCTAGACGTAATTTTCCAGTAATATCTCTTCTTTTCTTTTCCTGGAATGTGTTTTGTGTATGCACACAGAGACTTAATACAATTTCTTCATATTTTATAGTTAAAACGCTCATATTTATTAAATTTTAATGCAATTATCCACTTTTTAATAATTTCCACAGATTTTATGCAAAAAAATACTAATTTTTATACAATTTTAATGCAAATATTAACTTTTTCACTAATTTTCCCCCATAAAATGTAAACAAACAATGCGTGCACAACGATTAGCAAACGACAGTGCCGTACTTATCCGTTTCTGCATCTTCTACGATTTGCCGATAACGACAAGTGTGCAGATCTCCTTTGAAATGCATGTGCTCGGCTCAAAATTTCAGGGCGAGACGATAACGCAACTATGATTGGACGACAAGTGTGCAGATAGCCTAAGTCTTTAATTTCGGTGCTTCATGATATGAAAGATAATATGATTATGGACGATAGGAGGTAGCCCAATGCCTTAAGTGCAGCTTGTCTGTCCCCGCAGACATCTAACCCACAGCATAGACAGTAGCCAACCTTGAGGAAGGCACTGGGTTGTGTGTTGCTATTTAATGGCCTTCCTCAGACTTCTTCTTAGATTTCAGGGTTGTGTGCTGCATTATTATTAGATAAATAAATTTAAGCATTTGACAAATCGTGATTTTATTAAAAGAAAATTATAAATGGTGAAAAACCAAACAAAAGCTCGTGCGAAAGCTCTAATTTTGTGCGTTGTTAAAATTTATACATGGCGATATTGAAGGTAATACAAGCAATGTATTCATTTGTGGATTTGATGACTTGACTTAGGAATTTAGGCCACGTGCAAGCTGCCAGGTTCTGATATCAATATAATTGACACAAGCTTTTCCGCGTGATTGCGTTTATATAAATAGAATAAACAAATATTCGCAAATAAATTGATTCATTTAATAACTGAAAACTAACGTACGCTTTTTGTTCTTTTCCAGACTTCATTTTTATTTTGACTCTTTATTACCGCTAACAACTTTATGTCTATACATATTTACAAGCTGTCAAAATTTTGCCTAGTCATACGAGCTAGGTAAAAATTATGGCGTTCGTATTCACAACGAGAAATCTCAAAATTTTTGTTTGATCTTTCCAAATTTTCTCCTTTTTATCAGTCGGCAAAGGTCCTCAGTAGCAGCGTTGAGAAAGTAATTCCATGTCAATTAATAGAAAAGTTCCATGGTGAAAAAACTTTTTATTATGGTGAGAGAATTTTACATTTCTGCTGTGCCAATTCGTACCTTTTTACTGCTGGAAATTTTTGGCACTTGCTTTGGTGCAAAATTAGCAATTAAAATGCAGAAATTAAACAAAAAATACTTGTCTGTACTGACCTTGATTCTTCTAGAACTATAACTAGAATTAGACGTCTTAGTAATAACATTAGAACAGAAAAATACTTCAAACCCGTCAGGTAGGTGTAATTCTTGCTGTTAAATTTTTCACCCGCCCTGCCGTTTTGAAAATTTTCATTCACCTCATAGTTGTCAAAAATTTACAATCCGGAGTACTTTTTTTCAATTGGCACAGGCCCTTTTTCAAAAAAGGTTAATAAATGCGTTTTATTGAAACCATTTATAAAATGAGTCATTTATATATACCAATTTATGTGGAATTATTCAATAAATTTAGTTTTGTACTATACTTTTTAAAACTATTTGAAGTTATTTATTTTTTGCTTCTCAAAAGCAACCCTGCGTGCTTAGAAGGCGTGTGTACCAATAATTTTATCCCTGGCATATTCATCTCCGAGGACGGCTGTCGCCAAATTCATCCAACTGGTTTACTGGTTATTGCCCTGTATGCAGCTCTCAAGAAAACGGTCAAGAAATAATTACCATTATTTCGTGTGTGTGTCCTCGGAATTTTGACATTTTTTATACTTCACAGCCTGTTGCCTCACTCTTTCCTCAAGAAATAATGGAACGGGCATATATTTCTGTTGCAAACCTGGGTTGCCTCTTTTTTCACAAAAAACTTTAGAAAACCGTAGTAGAAAGCGTAGCAAATTCCTTAAGAACTGCGTACTGCCTTAAGGAAATTTGACTCAAGAAAATTTCTTAGCCATTTCTTGTACGTCATTTTATATCGAGTTTTTGCTTTTCTTGAGAGCTGCTACAGGCCTTATATTGTGATCTAAACTCACTCCCCTCCAGCTCGCCCGACTCAGTGTTTTACCGGCATCCATGGGCGTCGCCAGGATCGAGGTTAGGGGGGGCGGGCGGTTGCCCGACATATAAAAAAATCCCAAAATTTTCATCTTTACACATTCATGTTTCTGGCATGCGGGGGACGATATGTACTTGCCGATTTGTTTTACAAAAATTATTTAACAAGCAGACGTCTCGGTTGCTCAGCAAACCGGTTAATCGTTTCTGCAATTATTTCACATTGGTTCTCTAAAATAAATTTTCGATGTATTCTTAAAATGCATAAACCTAAAGGTAAATTTTATAGGAAATTAAAGAAAAATTTTATTAAAACTTGTAGTAACCCCCGAAATACGGGTGAGTACTTAGCTCAAAATTTATTTAAAGAGCTTCGTGAAAGACAACAATTAATCTTGTATTGCTACTGTTGTTTCGATACGAGAAACTACAAGTAATTACTCGATACTTTCTTCAAGTACTGAGTACTTTTTGTACTCGAATCCTTCCCCCAAGAACTTATGTGGGTATCGAACTATCGATTAAAGTATTACCTGGGGCCGAATCACGGCTCTCGAGAACGAGTGACTGGTCGAGTAGAGTAAAATTTCGATTCGAATCGAATAGGCAAATCATGGCCCTCGATTCGCAAGCTAGCGAAATTTCTTCGATTATTAATCGGTTGCCAATTAGTAAATGTATCATCTTTAACCATTTCTCAAACGTAAACAAGAAATAAAATATTCATATCAGTTATTATAAAATGAATATTTCAGTATTTTTTTATTCGAGCTCGTCTTATTCTGATAATGAAGTCAGACAAGTGCAGATACGGAGAGGATTACGTGGCAAAAGCAATCCCTTAAGTTTACCAGCAGCAGCGTAAGTTTTAATGATTCTAACCTTTCTAGTAGGTATTTGTTTCATACGTTAAAGTTCTTTATTTGCAGATTCAAAAAACGTTTCCGACTGTCAAAACCTGCGTTCGAGTACGTGATTTCGGAGCTTGAGTTTGAGGGGCATATGTCCACATCAGTACCCTCCGTCTTGCAATTAGCTGCTACGTTATCGCTTTTGCAGCAGCAGCTCCTCGGACGCCGTCAAAAGCTTTTCTTGGTAAGGCCCACTTCCGGTCTTTTGCTTAGAAGCTTTATTAAAAGACAGCTTCTTTTTAACGTGCTGCTTTTGGTCTGCAAATACCTACAGTTTTAAGCCAAATAATACACTAACTTCTGATTATATAAATTCAAAACAACCTACTTTACACCACATTTTAAGTTCTTTTGTAGGCGGACCAGCAGAATTTAATTTTAAGGAAAGTTGCTCCCACAATCTTTGAGCAACGGTTCTTCCTTGAGCGCAATTTGGCAGAATATTTCTGGCCAAATCCGGGTGCTCCTGCATATATTCCGCCATAATACTTTTTTGTTTTTTGTTGATTTTGTTTATGTTTGTCCTTAAATATAAAAAGATATTAAAGTTTGCAATAGTTTTTACTAGAAATATACTCACATTTTGTTGTTTTATTTTAATTTCCCACTTCTCGATGCAAAATTTACTGTCGAATGGTGTTTTGAATAATTCTACTCGAACGTCTGCTCGATATCGAATGGGGTGATGCCAAATTTCGATAAATTTTACTCGATCCCGAATGCGGTGATGCCAAAACAGAAAATTTTGAAAAATATTACTCGATCACGAGAGCCGTGATTCGGCCCCTGGTTTCCAAAAATTCTGAAGTACGGTTCTGACAATATATGAATCATACTGATGTGGTTTTTGCACCACTTTAAGTTGGCTAATAAAGAAAGTGTCATTTCCCGCATTCCCGTATTAGTCAATTATTAAAATTTTGCAAGATACAGAGTTGTGGCTACTTTTGCAGTAAGTTTTGGTTGGAGAGTGCTCGAACCGATTCCGTTTTTTTCGCATGACATAAGTACTTACAATGAGTTCGATATGAGTAAGTATCGAGTACTTCTCTCTGAAACATTTGTGGCATTGATACTTTTCTTCAATATTTTTAAAGAGTACAGGTATTGAGTACAAGGTCGTATCGGAACAACACTATATATTGCTAGACACCTGATAACCCAGGATAATTTTTAAGTTCTTAAAAGACATTACTCTACTCTAAGCTTCGTGGAGTGGGCCATGAGAAAACCGTCATCTTTAAGGTATATTCCAACCTTTCACAATATCTGGTATTAGTCTTAATCTGAAACGCAATAATCATTGAAAATTTGCGCCGTTTAAGGTGAAAAGCAGTTAATATCACACTTTCAAACTAAAGCTTTCTTAGCCTTAGAAGCCTAATCTATTTGGGAGTAACGTAAGGCATTAACATACGCCTTAGAGGCTTATGTACTAAAAAGATAACCTGTGAGCTAAAATATACTTAGTCCTGCCTTACTTTTTAAAGAATATTGAAGTTGTGAGTTTGACTAATAATAAAACATAGTTTTATTAATAAAAACTACAACCACATTTATTTAAAACAACAAAATAAAAAGTCAATTTTGTGTTAAAATTAAAAAATACCCATTCCGTATACGCCTCGCAGACGTAGATTATACTTTTGGGGTTAACCCTTTCAGTACAAAAATTCAACCACTGGTTCTAAAAATTTTAAATATGTATACCGGCTAATTTTGGATAGTTCATTTTAAAAATCGCATACAAAAATGTGTTAAGCTTTGAGGTTTGCGATCATTCGGGGTAATTTTTAATGGTCAGTGATATCCCATGTGTTTAAAAAAGAAAGGGATCTCAGCTATTTTTATTTTTTGCTTTAATGAAATATTTTTTAAAACTATGAATAATACCTAATAACTTTTCCGAATCTCAATTCCACAGAAATGTGGTTAATATTTTTCAATATGGTATATTTCTCACTATCGACTTTTCTGCCGCTTTTTACTTTTTTGACAAGCACGGACAACTGCAACTGCAGCTTGCACTTTAGTTTGATATATAGCTCAATTCTGTGGCTGACAGATCGGCCTAACCAAGTCGTACGACTGAGCGATTATATATTGATACTAAAGGCCTGAACTACAAAACATAGCGACATGTAACACATCATGCAAGTGCCACTTTATATCATGTCGCTTATACATGTTTGAAAGTGATATATGAAGACACTGCCGAATGAATTCAAATCAAATCATGCTCCAAATTTATGCATGTCAACAAAAGGAACACATGCGACATATTCAGCATTATTATTTATATTGTATATACGGGAAAATATTTTCCGAATTTCGCAAGCTCCTACTATAGTAAAATTTATTAAACAATTATCTAATTAAAAATCTATATACATTTTCATACAAGGCAGGATTTAACAGTATTAAAAATATGCTGCAGAAACACAACAGCAAACAACAGCTGAGCTAAGAAGCAATGACGTGCTACAACAATATGTTTGAGATGGAATGACATGGCATAGCAATGCATGAAATTTTTGAAACTGACATTTTAATAGATACGCTGGGAAGAAGTTAAGAAAATGTTTAAATTTATATTTTGTTACCTACTTCACCGATTTTAAATCTGAAAACTATGCCTTTCATGAGCATGAAATGGTATTATAACTTTGGTCCCATATTTGTAAGTACCAGAATAAGAAGAGATAGACTGATGAAAATGTGTACTTATGTACATATGTGACCAGAACCTCGAGCTAAGCCGACTTAGGCATATGGAAACCGAACTTCAGTTGGGTGGCCACTGGCTGAAATGGTTTTACAGACGGCAACTGCAAGCTGGCAACTGAGTTGCTATATTGGCAACTGCATTTTTGTGATCGCTGAGGTAATAATCGAAGATTGTATACCTACATATAAGGTAAACTTCAAAGTCTAGCGGGGGGGCTTGAGCCACCCCCCTGCCCCTACGTAGCGACGCCCATGCCGGCATCGGTTTCTTTTTAGTCTGCAGGCGGCCTTTAAGGCTTCCCTACGTATGAAGAAACAAAGGGACGGTAAGTACAGCAGTGCATCCAGAGCAGCCCCACGTGTTGTAGAGAAAGCTTCCGTACAGCACACGGCAGTAGTTCTTTGAAGTTTTGCAAGCAGACTTCCCACGCCCTTGATTGAGAATCTGCTCCACCATACCTGTTTACATTGCAAAAATGCTGTCAATTCTTTAGAGTTTTTGTGTTCCACGTTAGATTTCCACGATAGTTTCGTATACAGAATTACTTCTGTATACTTCACTTCGGGAGAATTCTGAATTTTGGCTCCTTTAATTGTGAGAGATATGAGACCATTCACCTTCTCCGAAGCCTGGTTTCGGACTATGCTTTAATGACGAAATAGCTAACAGTACGTATTTTTCGGACTATTAAAAAACGAGTTTTGTTATGTAAATATATTTATTTTCAAATCATTATCAAAGGATCTTTTAAACGCTTGAGAACAACGTTCAAATTTGACTACAGAACACATCAACTTCCAATTTTTTATGCAAATTTTACTCTTTTATTAAATCCCAAATATTTAGAAGAAAATCTCCCCTCAAAAAATTTCAATGTGGAAAAGCTATGCTTAATGTTTACATTCGGGGAAATGTCAAAAATCTGCTTTATAGTAAAAAAATAGTAGTAATGAAACTACCTTCTTTTTTACCTTCCTTTTATTAGCTCGGGATGTAACTATGTAATATTGATACGCCTAAAGGATGCAGCGATTCCTATTCTCAAGTTACATACCCGATGACAGTACGAATGGCAATTATAATAGCGAGGTTTTAGGCTTTTAAACTATAATTTTATTATATCATGATGAATGCCTATACAACATAAAAGCACTAATCTACGTTATGTTCATTTAGCTTTACATAAAAGCGGTACCGCTATTAGCGGTGAGAATCAGTGCTGCCACTTTGTGAGTAATTCCTCAAAACGTGAGGAATTTCGGGTGCGTTTGAGTATTTTTTGAGGATTTTATTTTGAGGAATTTTCTCTAGATATATTTGCAGATAACAAAAGCAACCATGTTTTACACAATAGAATTGATAAATTGCTCTGCAAATTTTTGAACAAAAGGCTTTCCGAAGTTTTATAAAGAGCGAAATACATCACACAAGCGGCTTGTCAAACATTCTTCAAACCTACTATTCCCAATTCGCCGTACAGCATGCAAACATGACTCGTTCAAGCAAATAATTTTAGTTTTCTTCCGGTTCAAAATGTAAAAGGGTTTGGTTTTCTTCGATTTTTCTCTCTTGTATCCTCATTCGGTAAAAATTCCGTTGCGAATGAGGCGATTTTATCATACACAACGTAAGTGGTTCGATCAAACCTCAACATGGCGGCCAGAAAGTCAAAAAAATTTGATTTGTGTTCACATTTCCCTCAAACGGCTTGTCAAACCACGATGTCCTTGAACCAGATTCAACTGAATCGGTCTGGAACGATGGAATTTCCGATTGGACTATTTTTGGGGAGTGTTCCCGAGTTAAAATACATGAAGTTCAAAATCGTGGCAAGTGCCGATTTCAAAAACGGTAACATTTTCGATTTTCAGCCGACATTTTCGCATTTAAGTATAGTATAAATAAGAATGTATATGAGTAGTTTTTTAAATATCGAGCCCTAACCGCCGAAATAACGTAAGCGACGTTTTTTTCAAAATTTTCTTTTTGAGGCAGAATTATTCCCAGAGCATCTAAATGTATTTCTGCATCAAAACGAAAATTTTGAAATAAATGTCGTTTACGTTATTTTAGCAGTTAGGGCTCGATATGTATATACATGTATAGCCTGTGGGGAATTTCGTAGTCGTCTACTACAATAGCCAACGTTTGGTCCACTTATAATGGCCAACTTTTATCTGCTTTCAAAAAAATTAACTATAAACACTTATTAATTTACAGGTGTTTTTTATTAGTTAGGTTTTTTTTATTTATGTAATAATATAAAATTTTACTATCGTCCGGGGCCGATACTAAATATGGGACGGGCCCCCCTCTAACCATAGATTTTTTTTTTTTTAATTTAAACCAATTTCCAACGTTATCACTGCATCCTTATTCAGTGCTTTTGAAAAATACCAAGTATTTTCGTAGTATGTGGAGAATGTCTTTTTTTTATAGCAAAACTTCGTCTAAAGGCACAATTTGTTTTGCTGTACTGTTTTACGGATCAAGTGAATGCGTAAAATAGTTTTTATTGTTCTAGTCAACTGCATTCCTTCAAGCTCAGATTGGCCCTATGCAAGAAATTGTCTTCTGTTGATTTTTGATTTTCCCCTGTTGTAAATAACCTCTCTTTGAAGGTCGCTCTACAATTTCGAGATCAAAATGTTTGATTAACCATGGGAAAATCATTGAGATAACAACATTTAGACAACAAGTGTTGACTTCGGAACCTTTCTATGTTTCACATTAGGCCAGATTGACGGTCGTTTTGTCTAGCACGGAAATGACCTCACTACACTTGCATGTGCATCTAGACATGCGCTTTCGCATTTAATGAATATTATAAAAGCTATGTGAATATTACATAATATCGTTCAAAAAAACTATAATTTTTATCTTCCAACTAAATTTAAGGAAAAAGTGGACCGGCGGGAAACACCCCCGCTCTATAGTCGGGCCTGCACATATATGTATACAATCGACTTGTATATATGGAAATATATCATGATTCAATAATACAAGGTTAGATAATTATTGACAGCTGCGGTTTGACACTCCCTTACAAAAGGTTGC